TAAGTTGGACCGGCTCGACCAAAATTGGAATCGACAAAGACTGAATTGTGCTTTTTTCGGGGTTACACCGGGGCTTATGAGTAAATTCTGCGGGTATTCTACCGGTATTCAACGGGTATTCGACGAGTATGAGGCTGTTACCCCTACAAGTAGAAGAGGATCCAAATCTATGAATCCAATCCATCCACCAAATTATCTACTTAATCCAATCCATTTAATCTAAATCCAATTGGATTGGTTGATTCATGGATCAATCCATGGATCCAAATGGCAAATTACGATTTGGTACGTATATTTTCTATATTTTATATTTTGGTACCTAAAATTTATATTTTTATACAAAAATATCATTGGAAAATTAAATTTTGGTACCTAAAAATTTTTATTATGACATTTTAGTACCTAAACTTTTCAAAATTTACATTTTGGTCCAAGGCTTGGATGTCATTTGGATTCATGGATCAATCCACCAATCCATTTGATCCAATCCATGAATTCATCAATCCATTGGATCCAATCCATTTGATCCATGGATCCACCAATCCAATCCACGAATCCACGAATCCGATCCAATTGCCACCTCTACCTACAAGTATAAATTTCTGGAGAGGAGAAGTCTTAAGACAGAAATATTTTAGGGTAAAATATCTCGGATACCACTTAAGTTTCAGAATTGGGGCATGCATACCACTTAAGTTTGAACAGGGCGTCGGGTACCACTGAACTATATTATTTGTGCACCCGGTACCACTTAAGTTTAATGTTAAGTGCATTCCGTTAAAGTTAACAGAATATTCTTGGAATATTTTGTTTTCTAAATTTCTTAATTGGTCCTTCTACTTTTCTTATTGTAAAAAATCATTTTTGACTTATGAAAAACATCAATTTTTATTATTTAATTGGTATCCTCTTTTGAAAACTTGATACCAAATTAATTTTTGAATAGAAAATTTAAAATAAATTGTTATTATAAGTATTTTTAATTATCATTATGTTTTCTAATAATTGAATTATTTTTTTTTTTAAAGATTTTGATACCAAACCAATTTTTGAATAGGAAATGTAGAATCAATTATCATTATAAGTACTTTAAATTACCATTATGTGTTATAATAATTGAATAATTTGCTTAAGCAAATACATTCTATGAATTCTATATCGATATAGATAATATGAGGATGTTATATTTAATTCTCGTACATCATCTGGATGTTGTATAATTTTCTTGGTTACTTTCGTTCTATTTTCGTTCTAAATTTTCTTCTATTACTGTAATATGTTTAATTCTTTCTAACTATGTTCCATTTATTATTCTTTGGTCTTGATGTATTGATGATCGATTAGATTTTATCTTAACTATTTTTAATGGTACTTCTTATCGGATTAGTGATTTAAATAGATATTATAATATTTATTTTAAATAATTATTATTATATTCTATATATTTATTCTTCTTCTTAATATTTGTTTATTATTTTTACTAACTTATCTATTTTATTGAAAATTTTTATTAGTCATTTTAGTAATATTATGTTTAGAAGGTTTTTTAATTTCTATATTAGATAAAAACTTGTCTATTTTACTAACTTATCTATTTTATTGAAAATTTTGATTAGTCATTTTATTAATATTATGTTTAGAAGGTTTTTTAATTTCTATATTAGATAAAAACTTGTTGAAATATAGTTTTTGATGTTTTTAAAAGTTTTGGGGGCCAAAAATTAATTACAATTTTGGGTTGGATGGAAAACTAGACGGATGCACATTTTGGTGACTTTAATGGTACCTGACGCCCTATTCAAACTTAAGTGGTATGTCTGCCCCAATTCTCAAACTTTAGTGATACCGGAGGTATTTTACCATGCCTTTTTCATTTTTCAATGATATTTTCATCAAAAGTTAAAAATTCAAATATCAAATTCTATAAATACAAAATATAGGTACTCCATTATATATTTTCAACAATTTATGAATTGACCAATTTACGAGAGAAATAATTTCTCTCTCACTCTCATTAATCAAATTATCCATCTCAACCCGTGTACAAAATCATGTTTTGTCGAGATAACTAGGGATGGCAATGGGTCGGGTTGGGACGGATTTTGCCAAATCCAAACTCAAATCCATGAGTTTATCCACCAAAAAAACCCTGGACGGCTAAATGCCGCCCTAGTTTTACAATTATCGCCCTACTTTAAAACATAATACGACTAAATTATCCTTCTCTAATCATTTCAATGAAACAAAATAAATCTCCTAAAATCCTCCTTAACATCGCCGACCTACTTCTCTGAGTCCTCTCCAAACCCCTTTGTCGGCGTCCTTCTCCCCGGTGCTTCATCAAAGCCTGTGCATCTGAAGATCGAGAGGTGTAACTTACATACGATTCTCCTGGCAACCAAATGAGGACAACTGAGAGAACTGTCCAAAGTGATAACCGTTCTGCTCCGCAAAGCATGAGCACAAGCATCGAGCAAGGGTTGTGGTAGTCAATGATGTTACAGACTTCCCCCTTTAGTTTATATCTTAGATAGCAAGGGATGTGCCTGCAAATGGGAAAATTAATTCATCAACTTTTTGGGAAAGCTGGAAAGAAAGTTCCTTTCATCCACCAATATCAAATTAAATCCCAATCTTGAAATATATGTTATGGAAGAGCTTGAGCAAGCGAACGAATCTTTCCCATGTTTCATATTCATATCAGAAGCAACTCTCTCGTCTCCACTGAATTCTCCCAAGCTGATGGCCTATCCTTTCGTCGTTCCCCAATGTCTAATGTCTAGTGAGGCACTCCAAGGGATTGGACATCATTGTATCCCCAGATAATCGAAATTTTCCAATTCAGAAAAGATCGAAATGAGGCAGCCGGAAAAGAAAAGAATAAGGTATTTTTATTTGATTAGGGCGATTGCGAATTAGAGCCCTGTTAATAATAAAAAGATAAAGGACAAAGAAGTAATTTTCACCTTTTAGGTTAGGGCGATTAGGGCGAACTTTAGCAATCCTAAAAATCCGGGGTAAAACCCGTTGGGTATCCACGGGTTCATGGGTTCACGTGGATTTTTGCGGTAAAAAATTTACAATAACAAGTTTCTTCCAAATAAAAGTCTTACATCAATTTTCACATAAAAATTATCCATACAAAAAAATATCAATCTAGAGCATACAAGCAAACTGCAAATTATCAATACAGATTGTTCAAAATTAAAGATAAACATCTATAAACAACATAATTAATTGACAGCTCCTTCCTCTTTGTCAACTAAGCTTCTTCACTCTCCACTCCATAATATCAACTTCATCGTACACAATTAGAAAGAACAAATTAAACATGTCTCCACAAACATAAAGAAGATTAGTTGTTTAAGAAGGTATATTGTTTAGAATATTAAATATACCGGGAAAAAAATTAATTATATGAGTGTGGGCGGGTACCCATGAGGCGAGTTTGCCTAAACCCAAACCCAACCCAATGATAGTGTAGTGGGTTTTGCCCGTGTTGACCAGGTTGGATCGGACAGGATACACATGGGTTCGGGTTTTATTGTCTATCATAGAGATAACCACTCCATTCTCATTTTCCTTAATCATTCATTTCTGTATAATTCTACTTATAATACTTATAGTATATCCTTCGATCATGGAATCATCCTCGCCGGCCAGAATCTCTTACATTCCACAACCGGCTTCTGATACCCACCGCGGCAAAAGAAGAGATCATCAAGACACCTATACAGGCAACTATCACCAAGCTCACATTACCCGACCCGGGTTTCATCCCCATTATCGCCCCCGGAATCTTCCCCACCAGATATTTCCACGGCTGTCGCCTAAACCCCATACGCCGCCGGAATCATCCCCGTGAACCTATTGTTCTCCAGAGACAGAGCCGACAACATCGGCATCGAACAGAGGAACGCCGGCAGCAGTCCCCCGAGGCCGTTGCCACTCAGGTTGACGGCGAACAGCTCGCTGTGGAGCCCCATTGTCGCCGGAGCTTACAGGGAGGTGAATTCTCTGTGGGAGAGAGTTAATTGCGGGAGAGAAGGGTGGTCGAAGAGAACGGATACGATGGGGCCGGTTACCCGGTTCTGAATGAGATCCAGAACTTGTAGAAACTCAAAATCGGCGATGGTCCTCGCCTCCTCGGCAGGTGGCCGGAAATGCTGTTGTTACGCATCGAGAGCTCGACGAGGGAGGGCGGGACGAAAGTGGAGTCTCCGAATTCGCCGGAGAATTTGTTGTCACTGGCATCGAGTTAATCGAGACTGTGCATGGAACTCAGATCAGGGAGCGCGCCCGAAAGATTGTTGCCTTGCATTTCGATCCGTTTCAGGGGCGTCAGCGAGCTGAAGCTCCCTGGAACCCGACCCGAGAACATGTTGTCGTCGAGGTAGAACTCCTCGAGGCGAGGGAGGGAGGACAATACAGGTGGTATTTCCCCGTAGAGTAAGTTCCGGGAGAGAGCAAGTCGCCGGAGCTGGACCAGATCGGAGATTGAGTCAGGTAGGGAACCGGAAAACGAGTTGTCGGAGTGATCAAGGGACTGCAAGTAAGACAAGGTGGTCCAATTGGTGAAAGACAGAACCGGAGTAACCAACCGAGTCGAGGGCGATCTTGGTGATCCAGAAGAGAACGTGGACGGCCCGGCCCGGTCACACCTGAGGCAGCAGGTGAACTTGTCGGTGAAGAGCCGGTCGCAGGGATCGACGGCGAAGTCCCATGAGCTCAGGCAAGGTCCTGGAACTATGGATTTGGGTTTCAATCCATTTTTCAGATTCTTCAGACCTTCAATGTCGGCTGAGTAAGTTCTGGAATCGACTTCGAGGAAGACTAGAGAGATTGTAGCATGAAGAAGAAGAGATAGAGCATGGAATCTTCTGGTTCAAGTAAAGGGCTCTCCATTAATGAGAACTGGGCTCGTATTGCATAGATTTGCAAATCAAGTTGTCGGGGACTAACTACTATGGGGATTAGACATTTGATTTTCTAGACTATCCTTGTCGGAAAGGGATTCATTCACATGAGAAGAAATTTACAGAAGGCATTAGTAGGAATGGAGAAGGGAAACCCAGAAAGTGCAGCTGGTGTAAGAAAATATATGAGCACCTTCTCATAATAACGCGGCTAGATGTTCTGCCTGCTTCACTTCAGCTCTTTGGTCGTTGCGCGGTTGAGATGCTTCTTCACACAGCTTTGGTTTATCTCGAACACGAAAGGCTTCCCTCTTATCTGCAAATCGTCGATAAATAAGGATTTCAAGGCATCTGGTAGATAGTGCAATGGAAAGAAGATTTTTGTAGGGAACGAACCTCGATTAGACAACTGGGAGTAAGGTTTAGACTCTGTCCATGGGTTATTTCCTTGTCATTGACTGAGATGGAAAATTTGCCTACGTTCTTCAGATGGAAACATCCACTTTCGTCCAGACTAATGATCGCCTGTAAGCATTTAGCATAGTTGGTTATGGGTTCGGGACGATATTAGGGGAACCAAAGAGTGGAGATCTCATAACTGTTTGAATATATGATCCAGAAAGTAAAACAAACCTGTCGTCTGGATATTTTGTTCGCGCGTCCTTCTCTACTCAAGTCAATGTCGACGGAAGTGTCTTCTGTCCCCCGACCAAGCAAAACCTGCACAGTTGCGAAAGCTTAGAAGGAAAAACAAACCCAAAGAATCTGTTTAGCAGAAGTTTGTTGCATTTCCTTGTACCTCGGACTTCTTGATATAATGCTTTGAATAACGACCATATAAAACAGCAAAAGCTCCATGTGAAGCAATGGCTCTTTGCGTATACGCATGTGCGCTCTGCTCCATCCTCAAGATTGCAGTCTTTGTTTCCTCTTGCTGGTATCTCAACACTGCACCAGTTGATTAGATGTAAGCACCATGTTAAGAATCGGTTAATGATTGGGAGAAAGGTGACCCCGTTGGGTTTCTGACATCAATTTGATAGCAAGTGAGTGAAGACCATGAATGAAAAGTGATGGAATCGGTTAATGATTGGGAGAAAGGTGACCCGTTGGGTTTCTGAAATCAATTTGATAGTAAGTGAGTGACGACCAAGACTGAAAAGTGATGAATCGGTAGAAAACAGATATGTGCACTACCTTGGTCGTTGGAGAATAAGTCCTGCTCTTCTGGATCTAAGTCCATATCAAGTATCTGTTTCAGAAAGACCAAGTTGAAATGGAAAATCAGACCAAGATCAAGAGAGATTCCAAGATGACAAACAAAATAATCAACAAAGTATATAAACCACGGGCATACCATTGTTTCAATATCTGAAAAATATGGGACATCATCTTCACTTTCTAGCAGTACGTCTTCTTGATCCGAAGTACTCTTTGCTCCTTGTTCCAAGGCAGAATTATTGACAGGCACGACAGCATCAACTGAACCTTGATGAACCGGAAAACCTGATGATGAAGGATCTATTTCTTGTTTAACACCACCGGCATTTGTCACGCGACAAGACTTATCATGTTCGTTAGAAACGGCAGCTGCTGGCCTTTCCATTAACAAGCCAGTGTTACTGTGGCTCATATGCGCAGGCATGTGACTTGCACTATTTCTATCCTTTGGTGACTTTACTTGAATGGTTGAATCATCATTAACGACAACACTGGCGGCAGCCCTTTCAGTGGAATCATTCCTGGCAAACTCAACTCTAACTCCAGGATGACCAACTGAACGATGAACGGTAACCTCTGGTGTCGCTTTTTGTGAACTTATTAACTGAGAAGACTTGGGAGGTTTCCCTGGATTTCCCAAATCCGTCTGCAACAATGGTTTTCCCCCTTTGCTACTTCTTTGTTGATTGTTGGTCGTTGCTTTTATGGAAGAATTCAATTTGCCAGAAGGTTGTAGAGGTCGTTTTGGTACAGTTGCAACTGTCTTGCGACGTGAGTGATTGTTGGTAAAGACAACATGATCATTGCATGGTACCTCAGGATCTTCTGTGCTCAGCACACAGCAAACAACTTCACAATTGAGTTCAGATAAGTCAGAGTATGAAGTTGATGGAGTGTCAAGGCACTGGACCTCATCAGTGCAAACAGAATCTCTCCCATGGTGCATTCTGATATCTTCATCCAACACTTGAACAGGACTTGTGTTCAACTGATTTTCAGGATGATCAACACTCGGAGTCAGATGATCTTGACTGGCCTCGCTACTGGGTGAACTCAACAACAGGGAACTGAGGCCATCATAGTAAGACTTATCAATGATTGTATCTTTCCCATCGACATCCATGAATAGAAGCTCATCGTCATTTGTAAGGTTCAATAGAGAGTGTGAAAGTTCAGCCAGATAACCCTCTGTTCCAATAGTAGCATCTTTTAGCTCCTCCTCACTTGGTATCTCTAACCTCAAATCAGAGTCCATGTGCGCCATACCATTATATCCTGATTGATCCGCATCTTTAGCAGCAGCAGCATCGATGTGAAGAGAAAACCCATCCCCCGCACGAAGCTCTTTTCCTCTCAAACCATTGTCAGCAGGTTCAGCAGGCATCGTCGTCATGCCTTCACCAGAAGCCCAATGCGTGATCTCAGTAAGTGGACACGAGTACTCCAAAGTTTCAAATTGTGACCCACATTCCAGAGCCTCTGAACTAAACCCTTGGTCTCCATTAAAATTTGGGCATCCTTGTACCTGGTCACCGTTCAAGGGTAATCTATCTGGCATGCAAAATTCGTCCACTACTGTTCCATTGACAGAGTGAGACAAATTCTCCCCCATCATACTTGCCATCTCGCTAGGAAGATTATCTTGCTGCATTAGAAAATCTCCTTGAACTGTATTCTCAAAGTGCGAATGAAAGACTGGATCACCATTACCAACCTCAATTTCAGTCAACGTATGGCGCAGGACATCCATGTTGGATTCCTGAAGTGCAAGACCTTGAACTGGACCTCCTAGCATGCAGTGTCCATGTAAAGGGACATCTTCACTTCCAACATAATTGTTATCACAGGGGCCCATAAGAAAATCCAGATCAATGGATTCAAATGGGTGATTACGGATCCTTTTACGCAAAGCATAGTAACTAGAACGGATACTTTCAGCTCCCCTTTTTCCAGTAATACATTTGTTATCCTTTGAATTCCCACACCTGGTAAATTTCGATGGAAGAGCTGATGAAGCGCACTCAAACTCAATCATCCTTAAAGCAGCTTTCTCAGACACGATTGGATCGTATAGGAGAGAATGCCAGCGGTCTTGCAGTTCACGAATTGTGAATTTTCTCGAAAACTGCACAGCGCCTTTAGCAAGTGACTCCAAGGAAGCACCTGCCTAAAACCATCAAAGGAAATAAACCAATCAATAGGATTTTTATAATGAAAATTCAAATTATCTAGAAACCAACTTAAGAAAAACCAAACATGATTCTTTGTATTCATTTAAATGAAAATGTACCAAGAACGAAAGGGGTCTATCCGTCCATCAACACTCAGCAATACAGTCAAATGGAAAAGCAATGTGGTTGACAAACGAATAAGGGACAACAGAACACAAAGATACCTACACTGGAGATGAAGCACAGAACTTGGAGCCTATTGACTAGATTTAAACATTCTATTGATATACACAAGTACTTTAAGGGCTTATATCCTAGGCTGAGATGGGATAAGTTGTCCATTGCCAGAGAGGATATATTCCTTCGTCGCCAAAGCACAACCGTTACATTGTCAGTACTTGAGGAGGTGTATACAGTTTTCAGGGTTGTTGCTAGTAATCCTTCCACAACAAATAAAACCACCAGCTAGGATAGTAGAACTTTCATGGTGCTTCTAAGCTGTTCGACTGCATTAAACCCTACAATGCCAGATATTGATACCCCTGATTGAGAATCTTCCATCTAAACCAGTACAAGACAAGTGAAAAGCCCACAGCACCATCCTTCCCTCTTTCCTCACCAACCTTCCCATCCACCACCATCTTCCCTGCCCTGAACCTGACAGGCAAATGCTTCTACAGTTGTCTCACTCAAAGTTTCAAAGCCAACCTAACCAGTAAGAAACTAAAACCCTGATTCAACAAACAGAACTAACTCTTGAGAATGGCATTTGAAAAACAGGCATGCAGCATAACGAAAAAATAGCCTCTCAACTCTAAATTCAAACCCAGCCTACCAAAGGCGACACCATTTTTCAGCAACGAGTTCAAGATTCCTCCACAGAACAGGTGAATTTAACCCCATGTGCACTGGTTCTGAACTAAAAACACCTCCTAATCAAAAGGTACACACAAACAAACGGGCAACAACGAGAAAAAAAACTTACTCGAGAAGTAAAAGAAGAGGAAGAAGAAATCACCTCGACGGCATTCTTCAAGAGAAGATCGTCCTCTGGCACCCAAGGAGCAGCGAGAGGAGACATAGCTCCCATGGCGGCTACTAAACACCACAGCAAACCGCAGAAACAACAAGAAGAAGCCGCCGCTGTCCGTGAAAATTTACCTTCGTCGTCCTCGCTCTTCAGTGGCCTTGGTTTTCTTTATTTTCGACCCCTTTTCTCCAAAGGGAGTGATTGTGCTCTGAGAAAGCGCCGCGAAAAAGAAACAGGAACAGAGAAAGAAAAGGGGGAAATAACGGCACGGCGCGCTGCGGGGAAGGGAAAGAGAGAAGAGAGAGAGTGGGCTTCCTTTTTTGTAATATTTTTTTTTAATATTTTTTTTGATTTGTTGAGGAGTGGAGCGGCGGAGAACGGTTTCGTTGGCGGAGGGAGGCGGCGGCGGTCAGCGGGCCGGCGAGTGCGCGAATCCAATGTGAAATCGCTGTCGGGACGGAGTGGGGCACGTGCGAAGCAGTTCATTTTCTACGGGGATTCGGTTTTCAACTTATGAGTGATGACGGTGACGGGGAAACCGGGAGTTGCTGATACTGGGCCTGGGCCCCGGGGATAAAGGCCTGAATACTGGGTGGGCTGGGCGGAGGAGTTGCTTCTTGTTGACCTTTGACTGAATAGCAAGGTTGTCAACCCGCGGGTTGACCCGGACCCGGTTAAACTAGTGGATCAAGGGTTATAGTGGGTCAAGGGTTAATGGGTCACCCGTTTTAGCCCGGTTTAGCCCGAAAATATGGAAAGAGTCATTATATTGTACTTATCCTGATAAATTATATCAAATCTCATCTAACATATGAGCTATAACATATAATATTACACCAAAATAACATTTCGTACTTAGATTCAACATATAGTTAAAATTCACTCACACTTATATAACATTAATATTCAAATGTTCAACTTAGGATTCCAAAGATTGAGTTAGGCGAAAAGAAAAATCGGAAAATAGGCGCATTTCGCAAAACAAAGAAAAAAATGACACAATTTGACCTCCAACCCGGTACCTTATAGCGGTCGACCTGGCGGGTGGGTACGGCCCGTTTTTCTTACCGGGTCAGAATCAAAGTGGGTCAACCCGCAGGTCGACCCGCAGGTTGACAAACTTGCTGAATAGTCTATTTAAATTTATTTTAGACTTTTTATTGAGAATTTGGATTATGGCGATAAACAACAGAAGGGGAACTGGGAAATTTTTTAGTAAGGAATTTATTAAACGCATCAATACAGTTGCTCCTGTGAGATTTTTGCATAAACATGTACGTGATTGGAGTCCACCTCAGAAAGAATCTTGTACATGCTAAAGAAACTTTGTACAAAAAATTGTCTTGGTGTAACTTTCAAGCCACGGATCAAAATTGTATTTGAATTTATGCGAAGCTTCCAGCTGCTTCATTCTATAAAAAAAAAAGAAAAAAAATTGTACAAAAAGGTCCATGAGCTTGTTTTCCTAGAAAGGAAGATTCCCAACAACTAGACTTGTTAGTAGATTCGATTATAATCCTAACTGTTATTCTGGTTATCTGGATCATTTTTCAATTTGTGTTTACCGCTAACCATGCATTTTATATAATCGGTTAATTGATAACATGTTAATCGGTTATCAGGAACATGAGCTCCATTTGCTCTAACACCTCCGACAAGCAAACACAAAAAATGGGCTCTATTTTGGGTATGCAAACCCAACTTGGTTCTGGGAGGGGTACCGATGTGGAGTGGGTTAGGATTTGGTTGGTAGCATAGTATTTGGGAGCGATAAGATTAGTGGATTGGGTTTGGCTTGTAGTTCATGTTAGCGGCAGTACGAGAAGAAAACAAAGAGAGGAAGGAGACGAGTGATGAGTGCGAACTGGTCGAGGACAGGGAAGCGCTATTGACAGAATCTTCGCAGCAATCTTTCCTCAACATCAGCCATCTTATCTTCTCAATTTCAATCCTGACGCCTGCATTTTAATTGTGGAGTCAACGTTATTGTTTGTCTCTTTGAATTTTGGGGAGGAAAACTGAGAAATGGCAAAGAGGGTCGAAGTCAGGGGCAGAATTTGTTTGTTCGAAGGTGACAATTTTAAAAGAAAGAAAGAAACGCATAAATATTTATATTCCGTAGAGCCGTCGGTTAACCGAGATTACTGGTTGCCGTACTAAACTTATAATCGGTAAATGATATAACCGCGTTAACTATGGATGACCAATTAATTTTATGATTTAATCTATGGCCTCCCCTACCCTCCACAGCGAAAGTTTTGCACATGGTAGCTAAGATGGAACCAAAACAAAAACCACATCCAAACGGAAGAAAGGACGAGTGGCGAATAACTTGTGTGTTGAGGTGTAAAATCGGCATCTGTGATGTGGTGTTTGTTTCATGAAGGCGATGCCCGTCAAGGGAAAGAAAGCTTAAAATGGAGAAGCATCCATTATTCTCCAACTCTATACGTACGATAGATTGCCTTCGGAAAGCCCACCACCAGCAAACCTCCCCTAGGCCCTATCCCTATAGATAGCATCAACGGACAACGGCTGATCTAATATATGTAGCTAGCTCGTTGGTTACAAACAATATAATTAAAGAACCTCTTGTCAAAGCTATGGGATTAATTAATCATGTCTATTGTACGTGGCAAAGAGGTAATGTTATGTAGGGGCCTCTAGTTCGACATACATGTACAAGTTGCGTATCGTATTTATCTTCGTTTTGCATGTTACTGACCATGATATACTCATAAATTATTAGTTCTTTGTATATATGTGTGATCGGATTATGTTTTCTTTTTTCGTGATAAATCAAGAAAGCGCATTCGAGCAATCTAAATCATTTGTATGATGAATCATGTTTAAGAAAAAGTTTAGAAAAGATATTTGGAACTCGTTTCTCTTAAGTATACTTGTTCAAATATCCTGCTCTTATGTATCTGACAATATATTTGTTAGAGAGTGGTATAAAATTCAGCATAACCTTCTCCTGACAACTCGAGTTATTGGGACCAACTGGTTTATGACATGGTATCAGAGCCTTCTGTGACCGAGAGGTCTTGTGTTCGATTCACGGTGACCTCCATTTGTTAAACACATGGTATTCTTGTCTTCAAACCTGTGCAAACTTCAAACCCTTATGATTGGGGGCGTGTTAGTGTTGTGGTATATGATCCACAATTGAACCTCTTCCAACAACTCGAGTTATTGGGACTAACTAGTCTAATTTTGTCTTTTCTGAAGAAGATTGGAGAATTTCAGTCTAACTTTAATTCATCAAAGATTTGTTAGGAAGCTATTTATGATCAACGAGTTAGAAAGAGTACAACATTACCTCATATAGAATATATTGCATATAGATAACTAGTATTGTTCAAAGTAGGTATAGAAGCCCTAGCTACATACCGCGTAAAATAACAAATATACCAATTTTATTCTAAACAAAGATGACAAACTATATGATAGGAATAATGGAACATTAAAGTAAAAATTCAATAAGCTAAACGATATTGCATATCTTAAACGTGGCTATGAACAACAAACCTATGTTGTTTCCATCATAGCCACATAGGTTTGAATTAGCCTTCAGTCACACGAATACTTACAAATAAAAACCGATAAGGAACACTTCAATTTCTTGGTCAAGATACAAATTACATAGACAAGTCAACAAAACCTGACATGTAACAGTTCAAGACACAACCACAATTGAGTTCACCGCAGATAACATACACACACACAGATACATGATACATTTTTTTATAGTTTGGAGACCAAGGCAAGGAAATCAGGAGCCAGAGTTTTCCATCAAAGATGCCTAGTCTCTAGTACAAGTACACATTACAATACCTTACAGCATCCAGCTTTCCATCCATTCTTTGTAGTAGCAGTAGGAGGAGACTAGCAGTAGCAGTAGTAGTAGTAAGTAGACAAGGTTGATATTGGACAACAACACATTGAACATCCACAGAGAAGAAGATGCAGATGATCTGCTCCCTCAAATGCTCCAATCTTCACTCGAGCAAGTGGAAAGTGGTGAGATCGGATCCAGTCCCACTGTGGAGATTGTGGTAGTTGGGCTGCAGCCTCAGAGCGAAGATGCGAGAGCCGCCCGTTGGGAAGCCAATCACAGCTGGAGACTCGTAATCCCCTCCATTATCCACTAAACCATACTGTGGATCTTCCTCTCTCTCTTGCTTTAATTCATTCACAAACCCAAAAATAGCAGCCAACCAACAACGTTAATAGCCCTATAAATATGGTCAAATCGAGCCTTATCTATAGCTTGATTATGAAATGACAAGATAAAAAGAGGGAGTCCTTTTTGGGATGCTTACAAATGCATGCAGAAGATTTCTATGTATCTCCTCCACGTTCCTGACCTGTTAAAAAAAGGAATAAGATTTTAATTTAGTGCTAGTAAATGACCCATCAATCGCTAGTCATTTCAGTAATCACGATTATGATTATTATTATTATTATTACCTTTTTCTTGTGCCTCTCAATCTGATTGGAGATCACCTGATTCTGTGGACCATCATAAAACCAAAAGTCAGCAGTTAGGGGATTACATGAGCTGATTAGGAGGGGGAGTAGTAATCATTGTTAACATGAAGCATGCGTGCAAAAAAGTGAAAATGCAATCATTCCCTAATTCCTACTCAAAATTACAGCTAGGGTTCTGTTCCAAGTAAATAAATTATCATTTATTAGCACATTATTTTATTCACTGTGGGTTCTGACTTAATTAAATTAGGTTAACTAAAACCACTTTTAATTACTATTAACTTACCATTAATCTATAAATCTAAGTCAATGATTAGCCAAATCAATTGGCATGACATTGTCCTAATTCCTAACCCACAATAAACATCAAGCAATAAACAACATGATAATTAATGAGATTAACTGTCGCTGTTAAGAGATCAACCTTGCGCTCGCGGATGATCCTAACAGCGTTGTCCATCTCATCGTCAAGAGCGCGCATCTGCTCGAACTCCAGATCGTTCAAGCATTCTCCCATCCTTTGCCTGTGGGATTAATCAATCCATTCATCTTAGTCAATAAAACCGAAATCCAAACCGAATCTGAACCAGATCTGGAAAGTTGTTTCTCGCACATTATCTGCTTCTGCAGATTCCTGTTGATTTCCTTCAGCTTCTTCAAGTGATCTTGCATCTTCTGCACTCAAACAAACAGATTGATTAAGAGAGAGAGAGAAAGAGAGCTTCGTCTTCTCCTTGAGTTAACGCAAACATGGATGAAAGAAGAGAGAACAGACCTCATAGTGAGTAGTCCAGATGTCGACGCCGAGAGCTCTCTGGTACTGATCCAGCATCCCCTTAGTTCTGCGCTCGCGCCGGATAACCAAACCACACAAACAAAACAAAACAAAAAACAAAAATCCGAAGCTCAGCTCAGCTCAACGAGATTGAAAAGTTGTTGGATCCACAAAAAAAAAAAGCTCGGTTTGAAACTAATCGACTCAGATTCAGCTCGCTCTCAACTGGAATCGGAAATCTAGGGTTTCGGATTGGAGAGAGAGAGAGAGAGAGGGAGGGATTGAATGGAAATAGAAGTAGCTAGGTAGGTAGACTGACGTGGCGGCGGGGCTGATGAACTCGTGGAGCTTGCCGGTGCTGGAGAACATGATGATGGAGACCTTGGCGTCGCAGAGGACGGTGAGCTCGTTGGCCTTCTTGAAGAGTCCGTTGCGGCGCTTGGAGTAGGTGACCTGCCGGTTCGTCGAGTTCTCGATCCTCTTGATCTGGATCTTGCCCCTCGCCATCGCCAGCTTGCTCGAATCGAATCTGCTTCTTCTCTCGGTTTGTTTAGGAGCGGAGGAGGAGGAGAAGAGAAAACTGTGGGAATGCGGTTTTTTTGTTTTGGTCCGGAAATAGAAAGGGGCGGTGCCAAATGGTGAAAGCCAATTGATTTCCTCTTTTCTGGAAGTGAGGTCTTTGATGTGAAACGAATTTCGAAGAGGAGCAGCAGCACGGAAGGATGGGGAGGGGACCACGCAGGACTTGCCGTCCGTCTCCGTCGACTGGGGCGTCCTCCGTTACTAGGGTTGAGGAGTTTATGACGGCGTTAGGGTTCGGCCCAATTACCCATATTGCCCTCTAAACTTTGCAGTATATACCTGTTTGTTTTGATTACCAAACTAATTGGACAAGTGACGTGGCAGCACTTACAGAGTTCGGTAGGCATTTTCCTTCGAGTTCAAAACATTTTAGGCCAATTATCAATTCGAAGGTATAGCTAAATGATTTAGAAACTAAAAAAATTCTCGCATACTTTATAAGGTTGCAATCCAGCTTAGTCGAGTCAGATTTTTACATGATATGATCAACTCAATTCAGCCTGGATTAAAATAATCCAGCTCAACTTTGACTTAATGAATGCTCATGAATAAAGTTTGTCGAGCTAAGCACTAGTTGGTTTTTTTGCTAAGAAAATGGTAATATTATCATAAGTTCCAAATAGTAGGGGTGTTCAAACTTATTGGTTATCGTGGTAACCCGTAACCATATTAATCGGTAGCATTTGGTTAATTTGGTTTGATTAATTTGGATAATTGGTTTGGTTTGGTTAAACAATTTAGCTTATTTGGTTTAAGTGGTTTGGTTTGGTTTCAACAACGCTAACCAATTAACCAATTAATGATACACCTAATATACAAAATTATTTATACTTTCATGCAACCAACCAACCCAAACTTTCGTGATTCCCTATTTTATTTCCATGTGCACAACAAACCAAAACATTATGGATAAAAAAATTAAATGGGTTTGTCTATATTTACTAAACCAAAACATTTTGGACAACTACTAGACTTTAGGATTACATACAATACCATGACAACCACCACAAACTATGTATAGTTAAGTGTTTTGTATGAGAGCTTTAACTTCCTAATGAGGGGTATTGGTATGTATTTATGTTAAGCGTTTTGTTGTAAGCTACCTATATTAGATGCAGAGATTATGAATGATGTATTAACTCGAATGATGATGAATTTATGATAATTATGGATGGTTAGTCTTATTATTATTGCTTATATAAAATGTCAATTTATGTTTGTTTTCATGTAATGTTATGTTATTTGGTTTATCCGATTATCCGATTAACCAAACCCATTAAACTTTAGTTTGGTTAATTTGGTTTTCATGTTAATTTGGACGATTTGGTTAAGACATTTTATTCCATGGTTAATAAAATTTAGACTTAATTGGTTTGGTTATTACCACGGTAACCATTTGAACACCCTACCAAATAGTAATAAAAAGTAAACATTGAAAACGGTAAAAACACAAACATGAATTCCGATGATCAAGTAGCTCGTTGAGCTGTAAATAGCTCAATGAGTCCCCAAATTGAGCCAACTCATGACTAATCAGACAAATTAAGTAGGGATTCTGTGAGAAATTACTAGTCCAAATCAATCCTATTATTCCATCGGAATTCTGTGAGATATTAAAGTTAGAGACAGATTTGTTCTGGCCCTATAGTTTAGGGATCAATTGAGCCTTTACCTTCTATTCGTCAAAAAAAATTGAGCCTTTACCTTTATCGTTATGACATTGACGGAAAAGAATAGACGGGGACGGTGAATCGGTGATTGGGCGAAACGGAGGTAAATACTAAATACGCCTTTTGGGAAGAGAGTACTTTGGTTTGAGGGAGGAGCATTTGTTGGCCTTTTCTCCAAATTTCTCTTCTTCCTACATGCTTCCAAACCCTATCCTCTTATATTACATCAAATCAACGTCCAAGAATAAAAATAAAATGAAGTCTCCATATTGCGAAAATAAAATACCAAGAAGATATTATTAGAAGCAGTTCTATCATATTTTATTTAACGAAGTCCCCGGATGAGATTAACAAATAAACATCGAGTTATCTAACAAAATGTCGATTGTAGCTCAAACTCATACTCGAACTTGGCTCACATTCTAAAGTATAGCTATCGAGCTATCTGACTATTTGTTCGCGAGTCTATCGAGCTGAACATGTCATGACTCAAGCGCTCATTAATCGACGAGCTTGTTCGCGAGCCGGCTCAATCAAAAAATGGGGTCGAACTTCGAAGAAATTTTTCTCAAGTCGAACGTCAAGTCATTCATAAGCGGATTGGTTCATTAACGGCCTGTTTGTAACAGATAGATTATATGTATAGCTAGGAGATGGGACACACTCTGGCGGAGCTGGAGCAATTTGCTGAAACCTTTGATTGCTTGTAACTGCATATTTCGCGCGCCTCAAGAACTGGCAGGCACGGGCCAGATTTTAGCTTAGGTTAGGTTTAGGGTTTCAGTTTTATTAGATTGGAGGCGGTCAAGAGGGTGTCTCTACTCTCCTAGGCAATCCGTCGAACGACTGATGTGCATTTTCGACCATCACGTCATGTTTGTGCGCAAACAGTGGTTTGCCGAGGCGTGGACACGGTGGTTGCGGTCGTTGGCCCATCATTTAAATCATTGCCCTCAACCCTACAGATGGGAATAATGGCATGCTGCACTGATTCTCTCTGTGTGCAAGTTTTGAAATCTTCTGAATGTGTTATCACTTCAGTCAACGTATGTTTAACGTTGTTGATCCCCGAAAGTAAAGTCATTTCACGACAGGGCTACCTATCCTTGGATTTCGGCCGGCTTTCTTGTTTAGCTCCTTGATAATTGCTATGCTTCACCAATCACCAGCTCCCCTAGAACACCAAAAAAAAAAAATGCGAAGTATATGGAATAAAAAAAATTGACAAAAAATAGTCATTATATTGATTGAGAACATATTAGTATATCCTGTCACACGATGAAGCCATAAAATAAAAATAAAAAAAAGCAACATGTAGTTGAGTACAATGAAAGAGCTTTACGAGCCACCACATGGACTACCCTATTGCTACTTCGTCCTACAAATCGCACGGTAAAACCTTGATGCATTGCCAGAAGCTGCAAAACCTCTTGAAAGTTGGCGCCGGCCCGACCATCGCTACCATTGGCGGAATTCAGTTCATCAACCACAACCTTGGCATCGCCTTCAAACCTAACCTCCTAGCAAAACCTCAAATCCAAACCGCCACTGGATAGTCTCCCGAAGTACCAACAACTCAACCATCGTGGGATCATCATTTACATCAAACTGGACCCAATTTGCCAGAATCCATGATCAGCCCATCCAGACCCCTAAGTATATGCAATCAATTAGTTAAGTAGTGATTAGTGATTTGAAGAAGAAGAAAAGAGTTAGGTGAGTTTGAAGTTGTTAGTGTAGGCAAAGATCCTAACATTTCAGATTTTTGAATTAGGTGATTTCAAATATATAATAGATCAAGAACATAGACCTTAATTCATAACGAAAACAGAGACGGTGATGGATGGAACAATAATATCAAGAATTGAGTTTTTTCCCCTCTTAACTACATTAGTTTGAGTGGTCGGTTGAATCAAAAATTTCTCAAACTAGACACTTAAATCCAAATGATTCTTTAACAAAAACACACATTTTATGAAAGGCTTTTGTTGAAAATATCATGTTTGGATGAAAACTTTAAATGTGACACTTTTCATTTATCATCTCATGATAAATACTTGAAATACAATATCACCCTTCAATTAATCACCATTCTCATCTTCTTCCTCCTTTCTCGTTCGCAAACAACACTTTCCGCTACTACCAGCAAATATACATATAATCTACTCAAATGAATGCAAGCCTGTATTGCGAAACCACCAACAGAAAATGGGTTTCAAAGGAAATAACATCAACCAAACACCAAATCAAAGCTTTCACTTCAGCTTTCGTCCCTGAAATCTAAATTGCCCTCCCGAATCCCTTTCGGAATTTGACTTTGCTATCGTTTATGATTTTCTAGATTCAACTTTCAGAATTCGTATTTTGACGAGTCATTCGATATAAAAGATTCAATTGATTTATTTAGGACCAAATGATTCATTTGTTGAAGAGAAAGAAAATGAATCATTTTATTGCATCGAAAATCTCAAATGACTCAATTGAGTCATTTACAAATGAATTTCATCCCGCGATTTATCAACAAATGACTCGTCATTTTGTCACTGATTTTCAGTTTCAACCTTTCCTTTTTTTCCATGAAACCTATACTAACCCTTCTCTATTGTGCCTTGATAAGTCCAATATTTTTCAATTATTTGCATTCCAATACTACTTTTCAATTATTTTTTTAGTAAAGTAGCTGTTATTTTGGAAACCAATTTCAAATATAGGTTATATTTCTTTGTAAAATTATATACTTTGAACCCTTTAGTCTGTTACGATTTGTAAAGAAACTTAAGCTAAAATTATAATTAAAAAATAAATATTAGTGTTATATATGACTAATAATCAAATGATGTGGTATATGCTAGTTGAAAATTTTCGTGGTTGGCTTTATTACAATAGGAAACAAGAAAAATAAAATGTGTAACATGTAAAGACAAAGCGATAACATTCAAATGACTCATCTAAAAACTATTTTAACAAACAATAAGAGTGATCAAAGTGGAAAAGGAAGTGAGTGGTGTAGGGAGGGCCGAGGGTGTAATGACTAATGAGAGAAATATTAGAGTGTGGTGGGTTTCAATTACAATGTGAGCTTGTATTTTCAAATCAGAATATAATAATTGAAGTTCCAAAAAAGTTTATTTAACTTATCAAATTCAACAAATGTTATTAGAGCATACCGAATCCAAACTCAAATTCTACTAGCTCTCCCGCTCTCCCGCTCTCCTACCCATCCTGCTATTGCCACCTCTAACAATAACAAACGATCAGGTTTGTCTTGCAATTATTAATAGGGGTGGCAACGGGAAATCAGGTTTGTTTTGCAATTATTGATAGGGGTGGGCAAGGAAACGGGTATTTGGGTATATTTATGGGTTACCCGTTAATATTCGTTTAGGTATATTACGGGTACCCATTTTACCTGTTCAACCCTCCCATCCCTTCGTTTGGTATGCAGACGGATGAGAACTAATATCAGTGGCGGATCCAGGGCTGGACTAACCCAGGCCCCGGCCCAGCCCTCCTCCAATTCAGAGTTAGTTTAGTGCTTATAAATTTTTCGATTTAGGTATTTGGCTCAGTGATATTTAAAATCTTGTCTAGTTTTACTTGATAATAGGATTTTGTGTAACTAGGAAAATGGTTCAGATGAACATATCTAAACCATCACTCTAAATTTATACTAAATTTTTATATCCCAAATGATTTTATTTGAAAAAAGACATGAAAACATAAAAGTGTAAAGTTTCATTAAAATAAAATAAAAACTCTAAACTAAAGCACACCCTTCCTTGCAAAATTCAAAAAATTCACAATCCCCCCAAAACAAAACAAGAACGAGGAGACGAGCAGACCCAAATCCGCCAGCCCGTCGAGTTGGTTTTCTTTCCACTCTTTTGATTAAGAAAATATTTACAAACTTGCTGAGTTATCTTTTAGATTGCCTCAATTGAGTGGGGCACTAGATTCTAACCGTTGGCATTGTAATTAAAGATCTTCTTGTACAATTGGCATTGTAATTAAACTATATTTTATATATTTTTATTTATGGTATCTAATATTCTATTCAAATGTGGCCAGTGCTCTCTTATGTCTTCGATCCGCTGCGGACTAATATGCTGGTTGCTTGCTGGTATATATAGCACGAAGAGGAGTAGGAAATCTATTTAGTATACAACTCTGTCATTTCTCGTCCTTGTTTGGGATTAAACAATCCCTGAAATGGCCAATGTATAGACGTGGATTCCCTGTTCTCTTGGTTAGGGATATTGCTGATTTAGTGGTCTTATTATGTTGTTTAAGGTCGACCAATATATGCTTGCAAGGCTAGCTGCAGTGGATGGGCCAATACATTTATACATTTGCATGATCAATCAAAATTTTCAAACCACATTAGCGAAATTCCCAAACCACTCCTTCTATGGATTACCCGCGGCCCGCGGGTACTCGTTATCTGTCTCGTACGAGTAATGGGTACCCGTTAACTCATACGGGTTTGAGACATATAATAGAGTTTTCTCATCAAATGGGAACGGGTATCCGTTAACTCGTACGGGTTTGAAACATGGGATAGAATTTTCTCATCAAATGAGAATGGGTACCCGTTGCCCACCCCTAATTATTGATTCCCAATCCTCCAAAACATTATCGAAAGCTTAATGGGCTTAACGCATGATGGACTCTTCGGGCCTATGACACAACTGGTACGCGCGAGGCATCCCTGGATCTTCTGCCCGTGATGGGATCCTCTGACCTCTCCCATCCGCTTTTCTTTTGGGCTCCAAATTACACTCCCCAGGGTTAAGGAACGGTTCTATATTAGAAACTTATAGAAAAGCATGTTTGATTTGTTTGATTCGGTTTGAATCAGTTCAAATTGAATCTCGATCCATTTTTTATTCAAAGAAAGACATTCACATTTCAACCAAAAAGCAAGAGGCGAAATTTGGTTATCTAAAGGAAAATAGACCCAACCATGTTAATTAAAATTAACTCCCCTTCCTTTCAATTACCAGTTCATTCAATAAATTCAGGTCCGAAATATCACCTGAAGTTTGTTCATCCAAACAACGGTTTCATTTGACCCAATCTACTCATCAAAATAATGACCGCAAATAGCTTATAAAAAGAGATAACCATCCAACCCACAGCTTGTGGTATGTGGAATCAGATATATTCAGATTAAACAGCCATCAAATTACAATGCAATACTGGAGCAAACGAGCAGATAATTAAGGCCCATAAGGCCTGCAAAGTCTGATAAATCCATTATGCCACATTTACTGTGCTATTGGGCCTGGGCCGAGCTCATGTTCGCCTCAACCACCCTGGTCCACCCATCACAATTCACAACGTAGCCCTTCTTCTCCGTGGGATAACTTTTATTGCTTCCGTTTTCCGTTTTCTCACTAGCTTATAACCCGACTCGTTGGTCGAAATATTTATATTTGATTATTTATATTTTCATGTTACGTTTAAATCTATCAACTCGCTTAATTTTATTGACAATCCTTCGATCAAGATGATATATAAAGAAAGAATATATAGATCGAACATTTGGAGAAATATAAAAATGTATTCTTGATCTCATTTTCAAAATGATAATTAAATCCCCGGTAAAATTCTATTAGTTAGTTAATTGTTAAGAAAGATATAGTATAAAAGCTCATTGAAATTCTCTCACGAACCATAGATAGTTTAAAACTAGATCTTAAACCTCGCAATCCTACATAAAGGTTCGATGCTCTCCTTTTAGGAACAATATGCCACTAATCAAAAAGGAATAAAGAGTTGTTGATTCAAGTCAACTATATGCTAACAAGTCACCTAAGAGGGGACCATCACAACTTGAGAGCAAACGCCAAAATTAGGGTTATCTCCAATATACTAATAGATCGATCAAAGTAATAAGGAACAAAATTAGACACTCCTTCCCTATCAGTTCCAGCAGATTGAACAAAGAATCGACCGACCTACTTTAGTAAATCAATTGATGATTCCTCGTTTTAAGATAGAATTAGGTTGCGATTGTTACACCCCGCTCTTCCCAAAAGTCAAAATGACTATTTTACCCTTGGGTCAAGTTCCACCGTATTATCGATGAGGACTAAAATGTAAACTCTCGGTTTAAGCGGTGTCGAGTTTTGTCATAAAACACAAAAGTTACATCCGTTAATTGAGTTTCAGATTAAACTCACCCGTTGAAATTCCCAAAATACCCTTGAACCACATAAACCCTAGACCCGCTACCCCCTCTCGCCTCAACCTAAAAACTAATAAAACCCTTGCAGCCCATAACCCCTAGACGCCTTTTCATTTTCCTTACAACTCTCGGCTCTCAGAGGGTTTCATGGAAACCAGAGGCGTCGCAAAAGGGAGATAGGGAGTGTCCGGTAAAGAGGGAGAGACCCTCGATCTAAAGGAAGTAAGGCGGCAACCGACCAGCAGCCTCCAAAAATCATCATTGCCGCTCAATGCCAGGTTCATGTGTCATCGTTGCTGAGAAGTAGTGCAGGGAGGAAGATGAGGTAAGCACTTATCTACCTTGTCCATATGTGCGTGCAAGGATTATGAAGATAATGGGAAGGGTTGGAGTATAAAAAAGAATTGGGAAACATAATATTTTGATATATATATATTTTTCCTTCCGTGAACTAAGAATTAACCTTGGGAAGGTTGGTGGGTTAATCGTCCTTTAGTGGATGTAGTGTTGGGTTATGAAAAGTGGTGATGGAGCATGGTTGGATTCTTTCACAATAATCGATTTGATAAAGCTATCTAGTTCTTGTGCATAATGGAAAGATCATGTGGCTATGACTTTCAAGTGTCCATCTGTTAATTCTTAGGGAGTGAATCGAATAGTCAAGGGAGATTTGCTTTTAATTACTTAATTCATGATTGATAGTAAGGATCGTGAAGGGATTGTTGGTAAATTGTAGAAATTTGAGGAAATATACATGAAGAGTTTTAAGAGGTAGGAGGAGGGATGCTATCGAAATCGGAAATTGATCATGGGATATTACGTAGGTTGTGAAGCATGCAAATCACGGGAAACTAGCATGAGCATGGCTTGGAGGATTAAGGAGTTCATATCGACTGCGGAGTGCAACCATTTATAAGGTGAGTGTAAAGGGGGTAAAATCTCCGTCGAGGTCTTTTAGTTTATGCCTATTTAATTCAGTTATGTTATTTAATTTTCAAGTAAGCGCGATTATGTGTGTGAGGCATCCCACCGCCTACTTAAAGTGGAGGCACGCGTTGTGCTATGTATGTGTGTGTTTGTGATGTATGGATGATGGTAATTGAACCCCCGGGCGGTTGGGCCACTACTGGACGCGGTAGATGGTCGGGTCACTACTGGACGGCGATACGTAACGCAGTAGTTGACCGGGCATGGACTGGACGGCGATACGTAACGCAGTACCATTGCCTTGAGGATAGGGACACCAGACGGCGATACGTAACGCGGTGATTTCCCAGTAATAAGTATATAAGTTAAGGTAGTAGTAGAGAACTTCTAAGATTTAAGGTTAAAAGTTGAGAAATTCTATGAGTTAAAGTTGAAATGAGTTGTGAAGGATGAAAGTGAGAATGACTTTCATCTAAGGAAAGGAAACGCTCATAACGTGTTTTAGTAAGGAGATTTCTAAGTGCAGAGACCTTAGAAAGTAACGACGAGACTGACCCCTTCTCACTCACCAGGTTGAGGTTGGGTTAGCGGAAGTGCATCCCGAGAAGAAGTAAGATGAGGTGACCGGCCGTGCCAGTACTAGTGAGAAGTCAAGAAGCTGGGTGAAGGGTTGGAGTTAAAACTTGAAAGTTATTTTATGATTATGATTATGAGTATATGTACTGGAGATTCAAGGTTCAAGATGTTGGGTTAAGTCGTTTAAGTATTTGGATTTTGATTGCCCAAGTGTTAGGGCTTTTCATTTGAACTTCCTAATATAATGTCAGATTGTTTATTTAAAAAAAAAATGGTTTGGCTGCTCCGGAGTAACCGTTTTTTGGGTTTGAGTTGTGGTTTGATTTTCGAAAAAGGTCGGGACGTTACATTTTGGTATCACAGCCGGCACTCCTCTGTTTCTTGGTCTCCAAGGAATACTGGAGTGACGATCTGCGTTTTTCAAGGTTTCAGTTTTTTAAAAGGAAAGGAAAAAGGGAGTGTCTGTTAAAGAGTCTTTCGAGAATTTTTAGAATCTCCAGTATACTCTATTCATGAAAAGGAAATAACTTTAGGATGCCCACGGGGTTATGATACATCCCGGGAAGGAGAAAGAGCAGATGATCGTTTAGTCGAAAGCTTTTCATGAGTGAGAAGAGGAGGTTCAAGGCAGCTTATATCCAACCGGGATGCGAACTGATCAGAATAAGGTTCAGGAGTATGCCAGTACTAGTGAGAAGTCAAGAAGCTGGGTGAAGGGTTGGAGTTAAAACTTGAAAGTTATTTTATGATTATGATTATGAGTATATGTACTGGAGATTCAAGGTTCAAGATGTTGGGTTAAGTCGTTTAAGTATTTGGATTTTGATTGCCCAAGTGTTAGGGCTTTTCATTTGAACTTCCTAATATAATGTCAGATTGTTTATTTAAAAAAAAATGGTTTGGCTGCTCCGGAGTAACCGGTTTTTGGGTTTGAGTTGTGGTTTGATTTTCGAAAAAGGTCGGGACGTTACAGCGATAGCTTAAAAAACCATAAACCTAAAGATTCAATAGCCACCACTCTCCATTGTACAATAAAATTTTTATCTACTTTATCTTCAATCTCAAGAGGCATATGTTTCAGCGAAAAATTCACTTTTTAATCCTCCTTCTGCACCTCCATTTATTGAACTCCATTTTATTCGCCATGAATTGATATCGGAGTTGATATTTTTTACTTGCCCAGTTTAAATCCCCAAGAATAAAATCATAGTGCCAAGAGACCAGAAGATTGATTTTCAAAGGCGGTTTTGTACAATGAAGTGAAAGGGGCGGAAACTATTGCACGATGGAAGGAATTTCAGAGTAAGTTAGAAAGAGATAAGAACAAAGATAAAAAAAAAGTACAATTTTAATATAAATTGAAAATAAAAGGACAAAAAACTTAGTAATAGAATTAATTTATTCTATGTTGGCTAATTACCAATTCACCTTTAGCGAAAATTAAGGAGAGAGCAGTGATTTTAGAACTGAGAAACTACATGAAACTCTGTTATGAAAATTGTAGTATCAAGCACCATAAAAATACATACGGTAGACTTAGCGGACCTGCTAATCATGATGAAAAAGTCCTTTGATTTTCATAGTGACACTTTGTGTATGTTCTGTATTAAAAAGATACAAAAAATTTGTTTAATGTAATTGGTTGCGATTATTGACTTTGTTTGAAGAGACCTGGGTTCAAATCCTGATATTGACATTTTTTATATGGAATAAATAATTAATTGTAAAGACAAAAATGTCCTTCCTACTTTCACTCTCGTTGCAGAAAATTTGAAATAAAGAAAAGTAGACAAAACTCTACTATATATTATTGGAGGATTTCTTTCCTGATATCTACAAAATATATAAAGGCAAAACATGGGTTGGAATTCTCCTATTTCAAATTTCGTGGTCTGAGAGTGATTCTATGAAGGTCATTTTTGTCATTTCACCCAGTTCATGTTTATATATAAAAAAAAAATTATGATTGGAGTTTGAACCTTAGTTACTTAAATGAAGAAAGATCATTCTAACCAACTAGGCTACATTTTATTTATTTTAATTTTTTTGATTAAACCCAAGGAATATGTTTGGTGATGATGCTTCTATGTTTTTATTTTATCTTAAGTTATTTATATTTTATAGAAAGAGATTAGTTATGAAATCGGAACTCAAGTAGTATTGATTCAAACATTAATATTAAATTATATTGATTCAAACATTAATATTAAATTGTATGTGTTGTTTAGTTTTTAGACGAAATACAGAAGTGTAACCAAAACATGGACCTTTGTGACGAGTATAATCATTTTTTTGTGACAAATCTACACATAATATAATGATAAAATTGAAAAATGAGGTCTCATTTCAAATTTCGTGGTCTGAGAGTGATTCTAGGAAGCTCTTTTTCGTCATATTGCCCAATTTATCTTTATATTATGTGTATAATTGTGACAAAAAAATACTATATTTGTCACAAAGATTCATGTTTTGGCTACACATATGTATTTTGTCTAAACTGAACCACACATACAATTTATTATTTAATGTTTGAATCATTGTTACTTGAGTTTCAATTTCACAATTAATCACTTTTAATAAGATATATTCATTTCAGGTAAAATATATTTTCTACTTGGTTGAAGAAGCTCTTTCTATAAGATATATATTCAATGTGTTAAGATCTATTTCAAATTTCGTGAAGCGAGAGCGAAAGTGGAAAGAGTATTTTTTTCATCAATATTATTATCTACTTCATCTGAAAAGTATCAATATCAAGATTTGAACCATGGTCTCTTCAAACAAAAACAATAATCACAACCAATTACACTAACAAATTTGTTTTATCTTCTTAAATTGTAAACATGCACTAAGTGAAGATTTGAAAAGCAGAGGACTTTTCATGGTTAGCTAGCCTATTAAATCCTCTAAAAAGCAAAGTTTAATAAGTGATTTATAATTTTTATAACCTATAAAATGACGGATAATCTTAAAATTGCAACACAAATTTCATTGCTTGAAATATTGCACATCGAACTGTAGTGTTGAATATGCAAAAGCGATGTAGAATTCTTTAAATTAATATAAATTTTCAGAACTAATACGAAACAGTAATATTTTCTACTAACTATAGGTGATTGGTTCTCTAAAATTTTAGTTTGGTTAACTACTAAACGTTAAACTCTTGCTAATCGGGCATGAATGGACCCGACAATAATGAGACGATATCGAGTTTAATGTGATGTTCATTTCATCAGTTTTGGATCGGATGTGTTGATCAATTTATAGGGTATTAACATATAAATGAGTTATAATTAACCTCATTATACAATTTTTACTCGTTATAATAATTAATTTAATGTTAATATTTGTGATGTTTGAAATATTTTATGTAAGATTTAGAAGTACAAATATTATTTGTGACATAATTTGTAGTTTATTCAAATGTAGTATTTTATCAAGTAGTCAAAATCGAATATTGGGTGCATAAGTGCATTTATGACTATTTTTATCTTGATGTTGTGATTGGTAGAAACTTAATTATTATTATTATGCATATAATTATGCCTAGACACAATTAGAGCATACCATGAAGATAATGTATATGGATCAGCCATGTACAAGCATGAATGCTTCATGGGTCATACCAAACTTAAACTTCAAGGGCTCGCGCACAAGTGCGAGCACCACACAGTCTATATTGGTGAACTCATGTTTTATGGAGAAATGCGTCATTTGATAAAAATAAAATATTCTAAAAATAACATATAAAATTTGAATTAATGAGTAGTTTCTCACATCAACGTGTGACGGCTCATATTCTAAGAGGTTTATAAAATACATCCATTGTTTATTTTGAGACTCAAACTTTTTTCAATGTATACAACTAAAAATTCATTTATAAAATCATTTTTTATTAACTTCATAGTTGAAAAGTCTTTTTATCGCTTGCAGTAATAACAAACGACGTCAACAATAACTTTAGAAGCAAGTAAAGTGAAGAAGAAATTGAGATTTAGTATTTCTTTGCAAATGTGTGTGAGGGGGGAGATTTTTTTTGTCTAAAAAATTTGAGGAAGGGTTAAAATTGATCATATATAATTTGTTTGAATATTGAATATTGCATATTGAATTGGAGTACTGAACATTTTGAAAGTGATATATAATTCTCAAATTAGTATTAATTTTTAGCCTTAGACTTTTTGCTAATATGACATGAACCCAATAATCATAAGACGAGATTTAGCTTGATATGGCATCGGTTCAAAACCATTTTTTTATGTGTAATGAATTTGTACGGCAAATACATGTAAAGTGAAGATGAACTGACTATGCATTTTGATTCTTTAGATAAATACAAAGGTTTAAGGCTTTAAGCGATGAACTAACTATACACTTACTCGATTGGTTTAACGAGTTCTACTTTTTATCACTTTTAATAATTAGTTTATTCACAAGCTATCAAATTTTGCTCCGTCGATGAATAAGCGACCATCTATTTGCCAGTTTCAGGTGCTCTGATTCACACATCGACTGTGAATGGAGAAAAAGCATTTCGAACGCAAAATTGGAGAAGTAGTTGGGATATTTCTAGGTTTCTCTCGATTCCAGACAGTGGGAAGAAAGAGGAAGTGAAAAGGGGGAGAGTGGCGAGATACAAAACTGAGAGAGAGAGAGATGGAATAACAAATTTGAAAACAAAGAGGAAGGCAAAGAGAAAGTGAGAGGACACATTTAAAAGGGGAGGAAAATGAGGTAGTGTGAAATAAATGTCA